TGTCATGGGCAATATTTCATTTTCGATTCTCCGGTAATTCATATGATCATTTCTATGCCATGAGTTAGCTGGTGTGTATGAATTTACCGAGAGGAGTGAATGAACGAATAAAATTGCAGCAACGCGCAGTGCTTTATCATCATATTGTTTTCATGGTTTTAGTTTCTACCGTAATCAGTGTTAGTGGAGCGGCAGGCAAGAAGGCAGTTCTTTATTTTTTTTTTTTAATTTAAACAGAATTAAGAATCAGCAGCAAAGATGGTTCGGCGTCTCGGTGGCGGTACATCACCATGAGAATGTACTACATGTGCTTCTGTAACCCCAAAAGATTGTTCTACTTCGGGATCGAATAATTCGCTGAAAACTTGTGTATCACCAATCAGGCTATCGAATATCTCATCCGGATACAGCGTCATTATCAGCAACGTCTCCGAGATTACCAGCGGCACGCCAAGCTTCAAAGTCACCACAGAAAGCGACACTTCTTCGCTTGAGCACCTGCATCAGATTGCAATTATTTATCACCGACTTCTCGCTGTTTTCCTTGTTCTATCGTTTTTCAGTTAATGGGGCATTTGCCATTAGCTAATAAAACATCAGTTCAGGGATTTGTCCGGCATGTAATAATCGAAAAACTAGCCCTCGCTCATATCTTCACTGTCATTAAAATAGCAACAGTTATAGGCTTTTGCAGAAAATAGTCGTCTTATTCCGTCTTTCTCTTCAGCAAAGTGATCATTTTTTTAGTTGATTTGCAATGTTTCAGTTGAAAATCCACTCACTTATGGTATTTTATGGCCTTAGAGAATTGTTACTTTTAGGCGACTTCATCTTTTGCGTACTATATCCAACAAACTTGCGCATCTTCTACTTGCAGTGAGGGAGTGTGTGTTACTCTCCTGTGGATGCTTCACCGTTACGGTTTAGTTCAAAGAACAATGAATCAAATTTGCCTCGCATACTTTGTTGCCATCGCAATGACGACCATATTTAGGATAACGCATCCAACAACGAATTTTAACACGTGCATTCTCGGCTCGCAGCCTTTAACAACCAATTTATCGTAAAAAAAAGTGACAACCATCACAGCATTAGTTGCTTTATATAGGCAGCTGCTGCACGACTGCACACTAAATATGCATAGTGAAATTTTGTTCCCCTTTTAAGATTAGAAAGTGTCATGGCGAGAAAATGGGATTGTTCTGGAATCCGTTTCTGTACATTTTTGCATAAATTATTTTCGCTACGTATTTTGGTTGTTGTGTGTGTTTGCTCCTGTGTATATGTGTGTATGCATGTGTGTGTGTGTTTTGC